TAAATGTCAGTAATCTTATTAGGATCTTATGTATTATTGAATTTTATTCACACCAGAAAAACTATTCAGTATTTATACATGTGTGACTTATTTATTTCTCTTAGGAGTATATCTTCAATATGTATCCATTTTCCTATGAATGAATCTATTCTCTCATTCTTTATGACTGAGTAATAGTCCATTTTATAGAAAAACCACTTCTTCTTTATCCAGTTTCCAACTTATTTTTCTTATTCCTGTAAAAGAGAAAATGAAATACAGCTCTATGCTTTTTTTTTTAAACTGGAGCTCAAACTCAGGACCTTGTGCTTTGAAGCTGGTGGCAGAACCACTGAGCTAAATTCCTGGCCCTTTGTTTTTCCTTTGCTTAATCTTTATTTTTAAATACAGCTCCAAATAAATTAAAATCTAAAGAAAAGCAATTTTAAACAAAGACAGAGCTTTGACACTTCCAGGTCTCATGAAAACCTAGAGGTTAGGTTCTTTCTAACTGTACATCAATGATTAATCCTAGTATCTCCAAGAAGATCCACAGGGTTTTCTCAATAGATTGACATAGGTCCTTTGAAACAATTATCTCCTCACAGGTAACTATACTTATAGTCAATTCAAAATAACTCTACAATTTCATCTTTTATGTTTTTTTCTGTTTTTCCCAAAGTCTCAGAACAATTGTATTCAATAACACAAGTTTTATGTGTAATCAGTTAACTCAAAAGGAGAATGGTCAAAGCTTTTCAACAGGCCTTCATCCTCAGCACCCTAAAGTTTTAAGCATGTGTAAACATCCGGAAGAAAACATTTGCTATATTTGATAACAGGAAAAATATCTGTTTATTCCTTCTCTTATCAACTCTAGGCATTGTCTTCATGCATCAAGGATCTTAGTTTTATTTCCTAAACGTCCATTTATACTACCAGGAATGAAGATACATCTGTACACCTGGATATATTTTCAAATCCTCATCTATGTTATTCCAAGCAATGCATACCTTAAGATTAAGTGGGAATTATTTTATGCTAGCCAACATATGACCTCAAAATCCTCCCTCTTCTCTTTTCCATAGTCAGGCAATTCTCTTGATGCTTGTCTCTTATGGAACCCAAAGATCTAGGTCCCAAGAGAAAGTAGTAATAACTATGTCAGTCTCCTATGCAGCTAATTAGCTTTCTCCCATTATAAAAAATTTTACATCTGTGTTCATGTTGTTATTATATAAATGAAGACTAAGCAACTCAATTTCTTCTTCTAAAAATGAACCTACTATTACCTAACAGGTAAGAGAGAGGTTTTTAAATTACAAAACTGCCCCTTTCATCATCACTTTTATTCTTCTCTCCCTCTCAGGTCCTCTTAAATTTCTGCCCTTCCATAAAATACTGTGTCAAGAATTCATCCTTCCTGAGATATTTTGTCCTTTTAATCCATAGTATCGATATCCTATATTGAAATTCCAATCATCTACTTGTACTTTCTTTTGCAATTAATTCCATATGGGCACCCTTCTGATATTTTCAATCTATTTTCTTACTGTGAAGATTTTTTGCAGGTTTCTGTATTTTTGTACTCTTCAATTGTAAATTTCATTTTCAACTGCATAAAACAGACATCTGGTCTCAGCTATTCCCATCCTATTTGAATATCTGACTCTATTTTAAACCCAGAGGGGAAAATTTCGTAAGCCTTGACCCCTCATATTCTGGTGAAGTTCTTTCTCCTGAATGTCCCAGCCAGTGCTTAAACCAATGGACACAGTTCAGACAGATAAATACTCTGGTCATTAACAATGATCATGCAAAAAAGCTGGAAGCTCTGAGTCCTAAACTAGAAGTCTTCCAAGACTGACCAGAAGTTTGAACAAATAAGAGAGGACCATTATCCATTGAAAAAGAGAAAATGGTCTTTTAGGAAAAAAACATTAATTTTTATTTTAAACAAAATAAGAACTGAAGGAATAAGCTTGAATAAAGAATGGGGGTCTTCTGAATGGATTAGAATGACCCTATCAAATATAAATAATTCTAACATTTTCATGACTGTGTCTTACTATGTACAAGTACAGCATTATAGAAGAACACTACTGGAGTGAAATTTAGGAGGATATGACACCTGGTTCTTGTTTATTGAATACATTACTATGAAAACATTTAACCACACTGAATTGTTTACACACTTAAGAGAATGAACCCATTGCATGAATTAATTTTAAAGTTCTTTCCCATTTCTCTGTAACACTGTAATTCTAATAATCTTTTTGGTTTAATATGTGTTTGTGTTTTCTGTTTGAAATATGTCTCTGCCAGCCCAGCCCTGAATGACTGACAAATTTTAAATCGCCACTAAGAAAGATGACAAGTTCTAGAGGATTTAGCTTCAGGAGAACTCCCAGGAGCTCCACCAAAATATAAGAGGTCACAAGAAGCCGGAGAAGTCAAGCACATGGTCTTTTCTCCATACAAACTTTCTCAGGACATCAGGATTTCTCTAACAATAATGTAATAATCCCACACATTTATAAAAGAAAAATTAGATTTTCTAGAGTTTTTTTATATATATAATTAGGTTATCATCAAAAAGTACAAGCTTGGGAAGAAATGCCATTAAATTCAATTTCCAGGCTTGGGACTACCTCAGTCAGACAGCACTTGCCCAGCATGTGCAAGATCTTTGATTTGGTCCCCACCCACACACACACACAAAAGTGCCTGTATATCTGTGGGGAGTTACAGTTTTATTTTTGATGTGAAGAGTTTTGTTCATGTTTTAGAAATACATGTATGAAAACCCAAGTAGGGCCAGGGATTTAGCTCAGTGGTTCTTGCCTGCCTTGCAAGTACAAGGTCCCAAGTTGGATCCTTAGTACCAAAAAAACAAAAAAGAAAGAAAGAAAGTAAATTCATAACTTGTCCATGTGTGTTGGTTTAAGTCACAAGAGGTAACCTAAGCAAGGTGTACATTGTTCTCTTCAATGATTCTTTTGATAACTTTTTTATCCTTGTTTCTCCTAGGGTTCTTTCTATTTTTTGTCATACCCTTTATTCTAACATTGTATTTCCACTTCATGTTTATGTCTTCTTTTTCAAATATGTTAATCATTGTTTTATATTTGGATTGTGGTTGTCCTGTTTTAGAATGATTATGAATAGAAAAAAAATTATATATTATATCAGAATGCCTGAATCTGTACTATGTTCATGTAGTTTGTAAATTCTCGCTGTAAAAAACTTAACCATCAATCGCACCTCAAGACAAACAGCATTTCCACATTATTACCCTACTAGCAATACAAAATTCTAACTCTGACAAAGTAATTCAAAGGATCTAATTTTTTAATTATTTCACAATTGGTTTTATAAGATGAAGTATGCCTTTCATGAAAAGAGTCCTAGAATGCTTGGTTTATATGTTGTAGCTTAGTTTAACAGAATAAAATATTTGATCTAAAGTAGTGAACGTGAGTTTTCAACTTAAACTCTATGTTTCAAACAACACATAACTGAACATAGTAAGTCGACCACATAGATTCTTTTCAGCATAGTAGAGGACATTTCCATAAATCTTTTCAAGTTTACTAAGCCTATAATGTTTCCCAGTTTTAATTTCCTGCCTAAAATCATTTGTCTTTATCCTCTGGTGATCTGTATGAGCTAAATATGTGTACATCCAGGAAGAATACTATAAGTGATTTGAAGGTGGTAAAACATAGTCTTAAAAATATAAATGACACATTGAGAAAATGCTAGGAAGATTGCTAAGGAAAGTATGTACACAGAAGTTTGGAAATAGGGGAGAAACAGAGAAAAAGAAAAAGAATTGCATATTAAGGGAATTGTAAAGGAAACAAACCGATTTCTTTCCATTTGTTGTATTTTTGCCTAAGTATTACCTTTTGCTATCCCACTTCACCTTACTGTCTATGTTTTAGACCATTTGTTGTTTTTCTCAGAGTATCTCCCACTGCAAAATTACTAACATTGCTCCTCATGAAGTGGATGAGGATACTTGTACATCATTTTCCTCATAGTTATTTCATTATTATTAAGATTCATTCAGAATAGCCATCCTTGGTCAGAGTAAAACAGGAAGATGTTTTGCCAATTGCCTAGATGGAATACCTCAAAATGTTTTAATTTCCTGACTTTACACAATGCCTCAGTAATTTAATCAGACCTTTTTTTCATTTAACTAATTCTACTCCCTCGATAATCTCATTTATAAAACAATCGCTAGCATTTATAAAAAGAGGCAATGGGTTGAAAGAAATATTAGTCCTTTACTTCTTCAGCCAGTTTGACTTTATAATTATTATGAAATCTTGGTTTTCAAAACTTTTGAATAAATTGTTCCTTCAACTTCCAAAGCCATATTATATTTTAGCAATAACTAATATAAATATAACATACAAAAGGATAGAAATTTTAAGATTTTAAAGTTCTGAAAAATCAAAACTGATCAGTTTTGTAAAATGTTGGACTATGCAATTTTTTTTACCTTTTTAATAATATTTTAAAACAAAGTCCTCATGTTGCTATTTTAAATTCTGTTAATATTTAATTAAATAACTGTATTACAGTCTGCTGTTCTCATGTTTAATTTGATTATTGTTTACTACATTTTTCAAAGTTTGAATTTTTTGAATTCTAAAAATTTTTATGTATGGTTTTCCTATGAATATATTTGTTTTTCTTCTTTTCTTTCACCTGAATTCTATGAATTTGTTTTGTGCATTTTCTGATTTCTTAAATTCCTATAGGTTTATTATTTGAGCAAATGGGAGTGTTAAGCATAGATGGCCTTAAAGAGCAACTTTGTCCATACTATGAAAATACTGTGTAACTTGGGTTTCATTATTTTATGCATACTCTACCATCAACCAAATAAAAGATTTATTAGTAATCTATTTTAAATTATCTCACTTAATACAACATGTTAAGCATCTCTAAGTTGATTCCTTCTTTTCTTTCAGGTTATTTCAATGTCTCCCCTTCTTTCTAAATCAATGGACCAAGTAAATGACTCTGTGGTAACTGGATTTGTGTTACTAGGACTTGCTCAATCCTTGGAAATGCAGTTTTTTCTTTTCCTCTTTTTCTCTTTATTTTATATGGGAATTATTCTAGGAAATCTCTACATTGTGTTCACAGTGATTTTTGATTATCACTTCCACTCTCCCATGTATGTTCTTCTGGCCAACTTATCAATCATTGACTTGGGCCTTTCATCTACCACAGTCCCTAGAATCATCTTTGATCTTTTCACTGAATATAAAGTAATTTCCTTCCACAGCTGCATGACACAGATTTTCTTTATCCACGTTATGGGAGGAGTTGAAATGGTTTTACTCATAGTAATGGCATATGACAGGTATACAGCCATCTGTAAGCCTCTCCACTATCTAACTATTATGAATAATAAAATGTGCATGCTTTTGGTAATCTCTGCATGGATCATTGGGGTGATTCATGCTATATTTCAGTTTGTCTTTGTCATAAATTTACCTTTCTGTGGCCCCAATAATGTAGGGAGCTTTTATTGTGATTTTCCTAGGGTTATTAAACTTGCATGCATGAACACATATAGACTAGAATTCATAGTCACTGCCAACAGTGGCTTTATATCAATGGGCACCTTCTTTTTTTTAATTATGTCCTACATCTTTATTCTGATCACTATCCGGCAACATTCTTCCAAAGATTTATCAAAAGCATTTCTAACTTTGTCAGCTCACATCACTGTAGTGGTTTTATTCTTTGCTCCATGCATGTTTCTTTATGTGTGGCCTTTTCCGACTAAGTCACTGGATAAATTTTTTGCCATTGTAGACTTTGTTGTCACCCCTGTCTTAAATCCTGTCATATATACTTTAAGGAATAAAGATATGAAGTTGGCAATGAGAAGGCTGAGTTCACGGGTTATAAATTCTAGGGAAGTGACTAAGTAGACTTCGATGACAAACACAAGCGTGGATGAATGTCTTGGACCATCGAGACCCCCGCAATCACTATAAACACTATGGAGTGCATATATTTTCATGAGAAGTCTGGAGACAAATTCCATAGCAAAAAGAGATGCTAAATCAATAAATTTAACTTCAGGTGGAGCTGCAACAACTTTTGTTAATCATGAAAAAAGTTATACATTTCTTTTGGGGTAGCAGTTACCGGGGATTGAACACAGGACCTTCTGCTTGCAAGGCAAGAGGCAGTGAAAGTTACACATTTCTGTCTAAAAGTATTGGATGAGATGTATTCAGCAGAGGAAAGCACATCACTAAAATCCCAAAATTTATTTAAGGTGCCTGATCTTAAACTAGGGTGATCTGTGCAAGGACGGTGATTGATATCTTTTAGATAAATCCTGAAAATCCTGGTAGTCAAGAAGCATAAGTTAAGTATCAGTTTATTTAGAGCTGTATTCTAATGGCTTTAAGAAAAACTTAATTGTTCTGTCTCTGCTTATTTTTAATACTACATGGCGATTAAAGGTGCAGAATGAAACAGCGAGTGACATGTGAGACTTTCTATTATTAGTCAAGGTTTTATTCCTATGTTCTCTTCACAATTTGGTCATCAGTATTCTTTGCTATTCTGTTTATAAAATCTAAGCATATTATTCACTCTTACAGGTCTATTTAGAGTTTAGTTTTACAATTGAATCATATTTGTTTCATCATAATTCTTTAAAAGCCACTGTTAGACTCAGGTAGTGAAAATGTTCAACTGGGCCAAGAAATTGTGGCATTGTTCCTTAGCTCAGCAAAATTTTGTTTTTCCTCTAATAACCAAGGGAAAACCGATGAGACTATAAGATAGTCTCAGTACTCAAAGCTCAGGCTGGTTATTTCCATATCTCTTCACCTGATTCTGATCACTTTCATAATGGGCTTTTAATTAAAGTACTAAGGCGGAAAATTCACATAAATATTGCCCTCTTGCAAATTTTAATACTTTGAGAAAGTACCAAGAAAGAGAAATCTGTACTCTTCTTTCCCTGAAAATTGCTGTAGTCTCTTCCAGTTATGAAGGAGGTAAGTGGAATGATGAATATATTATAAATACATGTGATAAATATATTAGTAAAACTAAGCAAATCTCAGCCATTTATTGACAAGATGTTTTTGTTAGTAGAAATCCATTTTTCAGAATTCTGGTATGTCTTTATCTTAGGAAAAATGGAAAGATCCTGTAGCGTAGGTTTAAATACTTGAAAGATTTAATGTAAATAAAGGGAAATGTAACCTTTGTTGCTAGTGTTTTAATGCAAACGATTGTTGAGTTCTTCTCCTAACGTTTTGGGCTAATCTATTCTTTCCTGTTTAGTGACCCTGTCCTTATTTCTTTCCCAAATCTAGTTTTTGTTGCCCATCTTATTGCCTCCTTCTTACAATACCAATAAAACCTGGTTTGGGACATTTGTTTCATAAAACATTCAAATCATACAGCTAGAGCTATGGAGATTTTGAGAGCTCTTGATCTCTTGATAAGCAGATACATTTGAAAAACGGAAAATTAAAGCTCTATATGTAGAATAGTATGTCCAAGATCATGCAATGAATTTATGCTAGAACTCAAAATTCCTGACTTCTATCACAATGCTACTTATAAAGACATACAGTGTTTTCCTTGAAGAAGGGTAAAAGATGCTTTAAGAAAAACATAAAATTGCAATCGTTGAATTCAAAACTTCATGTAGTGCCTGAGGAAGGAGCTGCTTTTTCAACTGTGCCTGGCACATCAGGATTGTTAAAACCAGTATGTGGGATTCTGGAGAACTCCTCCAATTACCATATATTTAAAGTTAGAAACATATACTTTCAAAATGTATTGAATGACTTTTATTGAGTTTATTGGTACTTTTTAAATATAAAGCACAGTTACATTCATCATTGGGATCTTGTACCTTTACATGACAGATCTTAATTCTCACTTTTTCCCCAAAACCCTGCCCTCCCTTCACCCCCTCCAACCTCCCCTATCTACAATGACTTTTTTTCCATTTTTCCCTTTTCTCATATTTTTTCTTTTCCCTACCCTTCCCACTTCCCCTACACCTTCGCCCTTTTTTGAATAACTTTTTAACAGTTTTAAGTGGGCTGAGAACAAATTGTGATGGTGAAAGAGCTGTAGCTAAGGATACCATATTATCACTCTCCTCTTAGAAGCGTAAATTCAGGAGATATGATGTCTTAAATAGGTGAGAAAAAAATATTGCTGAAGAATATCATTCTCTAATTCTTGCTACTGTTAGAAAATTTTTGGTACAGCTGAGAATCTTTGAGTTAATCATTATCATTGGCATATTTTCCAGGGAGATATAACTTCAAGTTTATCCTTTTGTTGTTGTTGTTGTTGTTAGTGAAATGAAATGGCTTTACACAAGAAAATAGTAAAGTCAATTGTAACTTAAGTGCTTTGATGACAAACTTCCAAACTAATTAGTCACATCAAAAATGATCTCACAGTATAAGTCCTATATTCTGCATTGTCAGTGGTTGTTATGATTGTATTTATTGCTATGTTAAGCAGAAAAGAACTAAAACAAGTGTCCATGATTTATTTCACCATTGGACTTCTCTTGAGCCGGAAAAACAGAACCACAAAACTTTTACAGGACTGTGAAAACAGTAACGTACTGCTTGAATGAATGGAATTCACAATAATGAAAAGTGTAATTTTCAAAAGCAATAGAAAACTATAATGAAGTAAATGTCCAAAACGTACAGTGGTGTTTCTCTAAGCAATTCGGCAAATGTATCTATGTAAGTATAGAGAGGAGACTTTATCCATCATTTCCCACTTCTCTCTTACATCTCACTTGCCAATTCACTCTTCCAATCTTATCCAACAGGTATTCTTGGGGCTATGCTTCATATTCAGGGCATCTGCATTTGCTCCCACACTGTGGTGCAAAACTTAAAACGGTATTTATTTTCTCTACTAGATACACCTTTGAAGTGACTCTCTCCACTTGTGTCAAAAGTCACTGTTTAGTGTCTTAACTATATACCAGAGAGCAACTTACAAGGTTGTCCCAGCAATACCTCTACATATCTGAACATTTATCATTATCCTTCACCTCCTCCCAAAGTTACCCCTACTCCTGAAATTGATCTGTACATGAGGTAGCATTACATTAGTTCTCAAAATTATTACGAGAATGAAAACCATCACCTTGCTCCTAATTATTCAGAATAAAAACATGTGAATGATGAATTTATTACCACAGATTGTTGGTAAAGCTTCTATTACTTTTCCCTAATAAACACTAATTTATTGTCTACTTACTTTATGCTAGAAAATTTATATTCACAATCACATCCAATCCTTTATGCACTCTAATGAAGTAGTACTATTACCACACATCCTGTCCAGAGCTGATCATAAGACTCAAAGCATTTAAGTGACTTGTCCACAGGCATCCAACTACATAGAAGATAAACCTAGTATTTGAACTCAGGCCTTCCAACACACACATACACACACACACACACACACACTCACATCTCACCCAGTATAAGTATCGCTTAATGGGCACTCACAAATTTTTTCTCACCCCATTCCTACTCATATAACCTGCAGTTATTACCTCAAGTGAGGCTTAAAATAATTACTTGGCATTATTTTTAATCCTTTCCTCTTTAAATTCACATTCATACCAGATCTAGTTTATTAAGTAAAAGTTGCTACTTCTTCAATAGTTTTTCATTATTTTCATAATAAAGCATAGATAATAACAACTCTAAAATTCCTTCCCAATTTTACTTCCATTGATCTGCTTCACACTTTTTGTCATGTAAACTTTATTGCATTTTCATCATTTTTTTTTCTTACTCCACCTTTGGATGCCGCATTCTTCTATCATTTCTCACTCTTTATATCTTATGTTTTTGATATTTTTAATTTTTTCGTTCTTTCTATTTTTCATCTCTCACTTCTTTTTTCTCCTAAGAATTTTAATATCCTAATATGATGTAAGATATATGTAGATATGGCACAATAAGAACTGTTTTTAAATGTGGGAGAAAAAAAGATAAATGTAGGGCCGGGAATTTAGTTCAGCAGTTCAGTGGCCTGCCTTGCAAGCGCAAGGACCTGAGTTCAATCCCTGGTAGGAAAAAAAAAAAGATAAATGTAAAGTAGTGGATTTAATCTGACAGTGCAGCGCAAAAAAATAGTGTTTTACCAGGAATAAACCCACCATGAGTGGGGACACTGGGAAGACCTGGGTAATTGAATTACAGGCACAATCAAGGTATTAATGTGGGATAAAGCCTTGAACTCAGTGTAACAATTCTGACTTCTTCTTCATCATTTTCTCCAAGGGCACTGCAGACGTCATCTACCAGAATGAAACAATAAGTAAAGCAAATTACTCTGTGGTCACTGAGTTCATTTTTCTTGGACTCTCCAATTCTCAGGAACTCCAGCTTTTCCTATTTGTGTTCTTTTTTGTTTTCTATGGAGGAATTGTGTTTGGAAACCTTTTGATTGTGATAACTGTGGCTTCTGACTCCCACCTTCACTCCCCCATGTACTTCTTCTTAGCCAACCTCTCACTCGCTGATTTGTCTCTATCTTCAGTCACAGCCCCCAAGATGATTACTGACTTTTTTAGTAAGATCAAAGCCATCTCTTTCAAGGGGTGCTTTGCACAAATATTTCTCCTTCACTTCTTTGGTGGGAGTGAGTTGGTGATCCTCCTAGCGATGGCCTTTGACAGATATGTAGCAATTTGTAAACCCCTACACTATACTACAATTATGTGTAGCAAGGTTTGTCTTGGAATTGTGGCTGCTGCATGGGGAACTGGCTTCCTCCACTCAGTGAGCCAGTTGGCCTTTGCAGTGAACTTGCCATTCTGTGGTCCTAATAAGATTGATAGCTTTTATTGTGACCTTCCTAGGGTAATCCAGCTGGCTTGTACAGGTACCTACAGGCTAGA